TAAAACTTAATAGCCCAAGTGCAGGAGGTTGGTGCCATTCTCTCTGATCAGCGCATCCCTTCCATCAAATGGCACCTTCTGCAGCAAAGCAGGTCCCACACTGATAGAAAAACAGGAGGCAGAGGGAAAACAAGGCTGAATTATGAGCGATATGGATGAGCAGATCTATTTTCAGGTCATTCAAACTGAATAAAAAAGAGGATTTTGTCACTCTTGTGTATTTCAGACCTACATACCACAGGCCGCTTTTTAACCACAGGGCCAGAACACGACACAGAGGGGATGCAGTGCTTAAAAATGCACCAGTTGTCCTGCCAGGGGCCTGGCGGCCAGCTGGCCCTGAGCAGGGCAGCTTGGGCTGGGGGCTGATAAGGCAGCAGGAGGGTGGAAAACAGCCTGCCCCAGCTGCAAGAACTGCAGACAGAGCATCAGGTATGAGGACAAGGCAGAGCAGGGAGCACCACTAGCAAGGCCTGGAGCAGGAGCTTGCTCAGGGCAGCAGTGTAAAGCCTGCAGGGTGTCCATACCAGGAGGAGGAGGAGGATGCTGAATGTAGTCATTGTGAAGACAACATTTGTGCAGCACAGGGCCCGCGTGAGCACAGCAAGACGGGAATTGGTGCTCATAGCACTGCTAGCTTTTAAGGGGTTTTTAATGAGAAACAGCACCTGATAAAGGCATCATCTTTTCTGGCATGTCATGACAGGAAATTTGCTACAGGCAGCCAGCTTTGCAAGGCATGCAAGATGTAATAGCAGTTTGGCTTAATTTTTCTAGAAGTATGGGAAAGATGATTTGTCAAGATTTTCATCTCCATCATCCTTGAAAGGGCCTACTTAGACAGCATGCGTGTTGTGTGGCTGTGACCAATTCTGATTTCATAACTAGGGGCACTGGGAGAAGCATGGCATGGCATAGCCCTGTACCTGGGCAGCACTGGTAGACACAATGGAGCCACAGGGGAGGATAAGGCCTTGCAAGGAGCAGCTCAAGGAATCTAATTTTGCTCATCAGGACCTCCTCAGCAGCTGAGTTGCAGTCTGAGGGAAGATAGGAAAATAAAACGAAACAACAAAACAACCACCTAAAGCATTATACAGAATGGGCAAAAAACACTGAGCAATAAAAACGGGGGGAAAACATTCAAAAGCTATATTAAACAGCAGGAGCCAAGGGAGAACAGAAGGAGGAGGTTAAGAAAGGTAACAGGCTAGCTCCACTGAGCAAATGCTGGTTAACAGAAATAATTTCTGCAGGATTTAAAAAGGCACTGAACTAGTTGGGGCAGAAATAAAGAGCCAAGCGCTCTCAGACAACAGTCAAGTGGCTTTACTTTACTGACTTCAAAAATTCAGTTGGACTGGAAAGCTCTTCACTAAAGCAGCCATAGCAAATGCATGCAAATTGCTAAGAGCAAAAATTACAAGATTACACACTTGGGGAGCCACCCTCAGCTGCTGCTAATACATGTGTCTCTGGATTCAGGCAGCAAGTTCAAATGCACCAACAGGCAGCAGGAAGGTGTACAGGAGCACCCAGATGCCTCAAGTGCCTCACAGTTAACCTATTCGTTTCCTTCTAGATGTAAAGAAGCAATTATGAAACCCGTCAGACCATCCCACTTGGGTTCACCGTCACATGGTGGTGGCAAAGACTACTTATCTTTAGCAAATGAAAAACACAATCTGGCAAAGGCCCTGTTTTGAAGGCCCACAGCTAAAAAAAAAAAAGCCAAAAAAAAAACCAAACAAACAACCTTTGGCACAGTACTGGCCCCTGTCTGACATAGTTCAGCACCCTTGCTGTCAATGCCCAGGCACCAGCGGGCAAGGCAGGGTTGCTGCTGCTCCTTCAGCTGGAGACTGCACCAATCACAGTTCCTAATGAGCTCTGCTGCCAGGTGCACATGAAGCCAGTGAACAAAAGGCACAGCTTGAGAAGAAATTCTCCAACACACTTCAGAGTGTGAAGGAATGCTGGATAAATACTGTCTGTATCAAGGGTAGAGGAGTTTTGTAGGGCTACTGGCACTGACTACAGTTCCTCAGACAACTCCCTGCTTGGTGCTATTGTATATGCTCACTCCAGAAGGCCCTCACATCTAACACAGCTGCAGCAGGGAAGGGGAAACAGAGCAACAAAGTTCATTACACCCTCCCAGAAAAAGTGGGCTTGAGGATCACAAGGGAGCTATGAGAGAATATTGATCAGCATGACAGCATTTACATCTATCTCAACAGCATAACTGATGGCAGCAAGTAGGCGTCACAGTAAAGAGGGCCCTGAAGGTCAGATTTGCAGGAGGCCCCTGGGACACCACATGGCTGGTCATGGGGTTCCTTCCACTGTGTGAGTGCAAAGGCTTTAAGCTCCATTTTAAACAAGGGAGAAGCCGCAGCTGGTGCACAAGCTGAGCAGAAGCAGGCAGCAGAGCCAGGCTGAGTTCAGGTGGTAGGACAGCCCACCACACCACAACTGCCAGCCATCACAGGTGAAATGATGGGGGCAAACAGGACCTGCGAGACTTGGTACCAGGAATGTCTCTTAGTGCAAGTATAGAATGTTTGCAGTGCTGTTCCCCTGCAGAAGCCCAAGAATACACATGACTATAAAAGCCTAGGACGTTTTAGCACAACACTTCAGTTTCAGATTTTGTGATATCAAGGCTGTCTACTACTGCCTTCCACAAACCGTAAGTTAGCACCAGCAGAGAAACAAGGCAGCCATTCCAAGGCTGAAGCTCAAGGCAGCGAGCAAAACAATCACCTACAGCCTTTCCCCCAAGCATCACACACCTCCAGCTCCAATATGATAGCTGCCTCACACTTGGGCTGAAGGCTCCAGGAGAAAGCATGGAAGCTTGGCCCCATTATTGCCTGCAGGTGGAAACGATGCCTGGGAGAGGGTTGCCTTTACCTCTGCAGGAAGCCAGCTACCACATTTAGTTAAGATTTCTCCTTTCAATCACTTCACGGAGTATGAAAGCAACACTTGCACTTGCAATAAAACCTGCCACCTGCTTTTCAAGTTCAAACTTAATGAGCTTTCCTGAGAAAATAACTGCCAGCTATTGTAAGGCTACTGCTGGAGCTCAAGAGAACTAGCTCAACACAAAGGACAATGCACCACATTCCTCCTGAACCACCACTTCAAATAAAGCCCGTGTTTTGAAACGCAGCACTACAGCAGCAACTGGCTGGTTTTCTAAAGTCACAGGCTGAGAGTCACCCCATCATCTTCTAAGAGCATTTCTTTGTTGGATTTTTCCCATGGAAATGCTTGAAGAAGTCATCAGATTATTCAGTTGGTTCTGACTTATTCAGCAGAGGAGCATCTCACCAAGCTCATCAGCTGAATGCCCAAGGGCAGGCAGCTCAGTTTTTGCTGGGGAGTCATGCCCAGTGAAAAGCCCACACTTTCTCAACCTCCATGTTTTTACTGCTCGTTGTTGCCTCAAGTCTTACACCACAGAGCAGCCTCAGCTCTCTTCCAAGCATATCTTTACTACTTATTCCAGCGATTCTTCCACCTCCTGCCACTCTGCTGTCTTTTCAAGGGCCGCTCCTGTCTCCCAAAAGGTAAGATATTGTAGCACATACCAGGTTCAGCTTTGCTGAGACCTCCACAATGTGCGTTAGCATGGAGGAAGTATCATTCACTGTCACCACTTATCCCTCAGCCTGAATTATAATCAGGCACTGCAAAATGCAGCCCTAATTACGCTGTCTCAAATGGCTGTGCTGCTGTTCATTAAAAAGAAAAGTCAGATTACTGAATCCCCTTCTCATCAGTCTCTGTTGATAGTTACTCCAGTGATCAGGGCAGCATTAAAGAGACTGCCTATGAAAAGCAAAACCTGGAGAACAGACTCAACTAAGCACAACTGTTTCTCCCTTATAAAAGGCAAATTCCAACACACTAGGGAAGGAGGCAGCAAAGCAGACATCAGCAGTACTACAAAACCTCAAGTCAGAGAACACTTCACAAAATAGATACCAAAAGGAAGATGTAGCAACCATCTACTTATCACAGAGTGCTCAAGGTACAGTTCTGGTTAAACAGCAGTGTGGAAAAGCCACACCTGGAGAGCAGACCTTGCACTGGAGGGTCAGCACAGCCAAGGCAGTCCACCTCATGCCAGCCTCAGCTCCCAGCACAGCGCCCTGCCAGAAACATGGTACCACGTGCAGCCCCAGCGGCACCCTGCACGCCAATCTGCAACTTGGTGATGAAGCAGAAGCACATGTTTTAAAGTCTCAGAAAACATAACAGTACAAAAGACAAAATTCCATCAGACCCCCCGTAAGGAGAGGTGGCAGCAGATATATTTGCCTTCAAACAGTTTTCAGATCACTCAAAAAAGTATCAACCGTAGTCAAGTAACAAAGAACGAGCAGCTTACCCCCTTTCTGAAGATCCAGGCTCACTGGAAACCCTCAAAGGGGGCGATCTCCAAGTAGAGACTATTCCTCTTCAGCTGCCAGCCCTTGAATGAGGACAGGGAGCAGGAGACCCAGGGTTCACCCCTTGCAATCACTCAGTGACCTGCTGCACCTGTGCTCCCAGGGCCGGCTCCGCCCCTTCAGCAGGTGCTCAATCACGGCTCAGCCACGGCCTAACGGTTCTCTTGCAACCCCTCAGATCGTATTGCAAGCACAGCTCTGCAGTTCACAACAGAAAACAAGATAAAAGGGATCTGCTCCCTGGGCCAGTAATCCAGAGTTAGAAAGTACCATAATTAGAATCAGGAGATTGAAGACCTCGGTTTGTTTGCAAAACTAATTACCTAATGTTATTAAAAAGCAATGTAGAATAAACCAGAGCACCGTCAGACTCTACAGCTAGCAAAACGAAGGACAGTTGTGCTTAGGATACACTGTGGGGGGGAGGGAAAGAACAAAACACTTGATGGATTAGATCAGATGTCAGCCTGAGCACTATTCATACAGCTCAGAGCTAGGAAATGGCTCTGAGGGTTTCATCATAGAAAACACAGCCACTTCACAGCAAGATTTATTAATACATCCAAAAGAAAGAAAGAAAATCATTTTGTCACACTATATACAGATAATACATACAGTGTTTTATACACATATTACATCAGTTTTTACACAAGAAAAATATACATAAAAATGTAAACTTTTGTATACAAAAACCCTTAAACAAATTAAACAAGGACCAGATAACAAAAGGAGACCAATCTATCATCATTTTCATTGATTTTTTTTTTTTAAATGGTAATACAGTACATTCATTGAGAAGTATGAGGAACATGTGAGCCAACTGATCCTATTTAAAGGGAAGTACAAACAGGAGCTTTCCTACCCACCCTGGAACGCTGTCAGAATCGCTCTGGGAGCTGCTGGCACTGCGACTGCTCTCCTTGGGCATCCCCAGATTCCGCTCTCACCAAAGCAGCACATCTGCAGAAGCAGACGGGGCTTTCTGTGCCCGTCAGCGTGGTACAGAATGCAGCAGTGCAAGTTTGTATGTTCCCTTTAAGCAGTCACTATTGGATTTAGCTTTGCTGTAGCAAACTGTCATTTTTCCCAATGTATGGTATGCTGAATACATGTTGGGGATGAAAGGGAACAAGGAAGGGGTGTAAGAGACTGCTAATCCTTGCTACCATGCAGTTACTTCAAAATCAGTTACGTTTGCAAGCTACAATTCACTGGTTCAAATACACTGCCTCACCTGTGCTTTCCCACTGCAACTTTATGCTTTAAACTCGAGTGGCCGAACAGCTGTACGAGGCTCTTTGTTAGAAGGCTGTTTCTGATATCAGTGCGATCACACTGCCTTTAAAATGACACCAAACACAAACTTCTCTGAGACAGCCTTGGAAAGAATGACCGTCCCCATTAAAGCACTTCAGATTGTCCATTTGCCACCTTCTCTTGTATTAAACCCAAAACATAGATATTTATTCTTAATTGCAAAGAGGATATTGGGTGGGGCTGACACCTCTTTTGCTCCACTTGCTCCCACTTTTTTTGGGAATTTAAAAACAAAGCAAAAAAAACCCAAACAAACAAACAAAAAAAACCCAAACCAACAAAAACCCACAATAATACAACCCAAACCCTAAAACCTCAGGCATTAAATAAGAAGGGAACTAATGAATGATGATGAAAAAAGCAAAACTCTTTGGAAAGAAACAATAGACTCCAGCAAAGACTTCTCACATTAAATAAGTTAAAGACTTGTTACAGACATCTTCATAAAAAATATCTGTCCTCCAGGAGTATGTTAACATGAAACATGATAGTGATGCACCAGAATTATTCCTGGAAAGGACAGAAGAGCACGAGATCTCCTCAGTGCCTCAGCACTACCAAATGTAGGAGGTGAACAATGACTGAAGAAGGTAAAATAATGGGGAAAGCTGTGTAAAAGAAACCATGAATCATTAATTCTATTTAGAGAAGGGAGGTGAGCAGAACGTGATTCCAATATGCCTCATGAGGAAATAAATACTTCGGAACTTGCACTTCCATTTTTTTCTTTCCATCTTAAGTGACGGTGGGAGTAAGATCTGCCTGTTTTGTTGGTGGTGGTGTTTTTTTGCTTTTATTTTTTCCTTTTTCTTTTTTTTTTTTCTTTTTTAGTAACAACCCTTCTAGTAAAAATTCAAAAGAACAATTACAAATGGCTTTAGATAATCAAGAGTCTCCTTTTTAAAATAAAACTTTGATAACACATTTCTCCATTTCTTCTATATATGCAGCTTCAGAGAAAATATCTCATAAGGGACAGCAATTTGCAAAATGTTTAAAAAAATGCCATCCAAGGTTCATAACATATACACATGTATATGCAGGACATCTACACTCTATATACATATTTAATATACGAATGCATGAGTATATACTAGGAGAGGACCAACAAGTATGTTCTCCACATACATAAACTGGAATAGGGTCATCTATGTGTGCATACATGTGTTATACACACACCCAGTACACAACCATACCCATACGCACACCCAAACATGTATTATAGAAATCGTCATGTATGATTGCATGAAAGCTCAGATGGAACAGTACATCAGTTACCTTTTTTCCTAATAGAAACGCAAGGAAGACAAAATTCCATGGCTGAACTGTGGCCAAGAAAAACAGTGCCATACCCAGACTGAAAACGTGGACTGCAGTAAGGCCTGGTGGCAGAATGGAGCTGCGCTCTCCTCTGAAACCACAGGTAAGCAAGCCATGAATGTCAGCAGTGCTTACATGTGACTGAGCAGGTTTCTGACAGCTGCTTTCTGCTAAAAGGACAGGGGAACTCCAGCTAGCCAGAAAACAAAATAAAATATTTAAAAACACAATTTACTTGCATAAGCAAAATCATTCAATGCACAATGAGATGCAAAATTCTTGCATACTAATGGTCAACTCTGCAGCTCACTTTAAAATCTGTTTACTGGTAAAACTAACGAGCTGTGTTTCTCTTGATATGTTTGACAACAGCGCTGCTCAGAACCAGCACAAGGCTGCCTTCTGCTCACTGCTCTCCTTACAGGAAAGGCACACTGAGCTCCCTTTTTCACACTGGGGCTGAAAATTAAAATGTTTTCAGTGGGTTTGCTTTTCTCATTTTGAGTATTTACCTCTGAATCGTGGTGCTGGGTTAACCTTTTAATATTCTAGGTAACTGCATCAGTTTCTAAGAGAAGTTAGCATTCATCTGCATATCAGTCACAGTCGCAGTCAAGTACAATTGAGTAACTGGAAAAATCTGCCTAGGGTCAAGCAAATGCTCAGGGCCCAATTCAGCTGCCACTGCAGTCACCCAGAAAATTTCCCTAATGCATAGAAGTGCCGGACTGGGCCATTAGAGCTGCTTACTTCTACAGCATGATAAGCTTCAGAGATACCAGGACAGGGAGGAGCTGGAATGGAGGTAATGGAGTAGCAAAGCAAAAGAGGTCGGCATTGCAAGAGGCCTCACTGAGTATTAATATACACAGAAGCAAAAACGTACCAAGGAAATTCTGTTTTGAGGGCTGAGGTAACAAAAATCAGTGGTGACCACGATCAGACCTATCACTGACACCAACCAAAGCCCTCAGATGAACTAAGACCACGTTGTTTGGCACCGCGTGCTTACCTGTTACACATAGGTTATGGCTAGTCTTTCAGCTCACACACTTGTTTATGTTACAGCCAATGCACGTGTGTGATACTACGTATATACCATCTATATATATATATCTGTATGCATATATATATATACACACATAGATTGATTGCATTCATACCTATTTATCGTGCATCATGAGGACAAGAGCACATTCAGCAAAGTGCTACCAACATCTCATATACAGATATCTCTCTCTGTACAGGTACACACAGAAGCAGGTCTATTTTTCCCCAAAAGGCATACAGATTTATGCTGCTAGCTCCCATTACCACCACACAATGAGAAGGAAAGGCCTCTTGACAACATCCACCTCCCTGCCCTGTTCACTTGTACATGCAGATGCATGAGAAAAGAAATGCACTGTGGCATGGACGTACTGAGAGGGAAGGGAAAGTACAAAAACTTCAAGGTTTGATTTGCAACCGCTTTAAAAAAAAAAAAAAAAATAGAATTAAAATGTCTGTGCAATATTGGAAGCTCTGTTCATCTAAACAGATTTTTAAAGCCACCGGGATCAGCATCACTAAAAGTGAAACTGCATGAATAAATAACATTTAGGTTTTACTTTTCTCCAGCCTAAATGCTGTAACTGATGCACAGTATGACGCGTAAGCAAAAATATAAGAATGTTTCTGATTCCTCACCCTTTCAAGTGAGAACTCTCAAAGAAATCTTCCTTCTCCGATTATGAAAAAGAGCTAAATAGCTAAAACCAAATTCCAAAACCCACAAGTGGAATTCCCTGGGCTGAAAGTGTATTTTGCTCTGTCCCAAAACAGCAATTCCGGAGCAAAATCAGCACACACAAAGACCTTCAGAAAAGAAAAGAATCTGCTTTGAAGACAAGAGCCTCTTACAGAACGGAGATCGGTCCTCAACCAGTGCTCCTTACAACCTGAGTTGAAAACCAAGTACAACTGGTTAACCACATTTTCCACATCAGACTATAGGAGATTCAGGTATTAATCTGCAAAAATACACAATCCCTCCGTCTCGTCGTCATCACAGAACTCTCCATTTCAAATTCTCCTGAAAAATATCACTCAATTCTTCCATCCCTTCTCCTCCTCCATGTATTTTATGTAAAGGCTGTCTTTGGGAGCTTGGTATTTTCATGACATGTTAAACAGGGCTCACTGCAAGTCATTTAAAAAACAGTAAAATTGACATGATATCAGAATTAGCCTTATAACAGAAGATTATATAGTAGAGAGTTTGAGTTATTTATACAACAGTGAGGACATAGGAACCCCCTACTAAATAATCACATTTCTACAATACATTCCATCACCTCTCGACTACTTTTCTCTTTACAAAACTATGACCTACATACAATATACACATTCGTATCGCACATACATCCCCCCCAATGCATATTTTTGTGTGTATATATCATACATACATGCACACAGGCAGTCTAATTCTATTTATAAGTCACAGTGGGAATTCCTTTGTGAGGAAAGGAGGGGGAAAATTCCTGAATAAGACACTGAGATTTCTAATGTTCTGACTTTTCAAATTCCAACTCACAGAGCTAACTGGAAATAAATACATTAAAAAAAAAAAGTCTTAAAACTTGGTTCACAACTTCCAGCTACAGTAGTTGGATTTTTTAATTTGATCTATTTACCCTGTAACTAAATGTCTAATCAATGGTACAAACCACAGATAAATTATTGCAGAATGTAACACTCAAAATAAAATTTAAAAAGAGATATAGGAACAGTGATATAAGGGTTAAAAAGAGTTCTATGCTTTGTTGATACAGGATACCATTTTATTTTAATTATATATATATCTATATATAGATATAGATATAGATATCTGCAAGGTAGCAAAGAATAGCTGTACACCTTGACACGGCAAAATCCAGTGTAAAAAGGTGCTTCACTAGTTTGTCTTCCCAAAAAAGCTTGTATATAATTTTATAGCCATTAAAAACACATATGCAACATAATTCATTACACTCAATACAGCTTTAGTATAAAACTTATAATTTATGAGGTGATGTTAATAGCATAAATTAATATACCATTTCTCTTAAAATCTACAATAAGTATTCTGAAAGCTCATTGGGGAAGGGTATCTTTAAATAAAAAGTTTAAAGCTGAGCGTGATGAAAAAGATTCTGTATGTTGATCTTGAGAGCCCCAAGAAGAGAAAGAGTCCCTAAGCCAGACAGTGGACTAGAAAATTGAACACGGATTTCTCTTTCTCGCACTCTCACTTAGATGACGCTCTACCTTAAATTATTATTTACTTTTAAAACTATTTACTTTTTTTTTCTTTTTTTTTTTTTCTTTTTTTTTCCTTTTTTTTTTTTTTTT